TTAAACAATAATTCAATAACGAAAATTTGAAAAACCCCTCAATAGTTTAATAATGTTTATTAATTCCTCGTTGTGAAACGTCGTAATAAGCTCGTTTCCACATACACTCGCGCATCTCAGTACGTAACATGATATTCTGTCATAATCATGAAAATAAGCATAAGAAAGAGCACAAAAATCCAAATATGTCACAACACATATTCCCTTTCGTTTGTTCTGTCTCAACAAATAATTTATAAAATGAAACTAAATTAATAAACTATATGCTTATAATAATCCAACTGCTTACTGTCTCTACCCTAACTTTTTAGCCCCACGGGTCACCAACTCTTCTATCGCTTAGACTTAAACTATTTCATAAAATTTTAAAATATATATATATATATATATATATATATATATATGTGAGCTAGGTTTCTACTATATCTATTAACCACCAACAGTGCATTGAAAAAAATATTTGTATAATCAACAAATTTCAACAAAATGAAGACATGATTGGGAACTCGTGACTTAAACTAACAGCATCCCAATCAACTGTTCGTACCGGTGGGTGCAAGGCCATCCAAGGACTTGTAATTTTAAGAAACTGAAAAGAAGTTTACCAAAGTTGCTTCCCTCAATCCCTTTCCTACGTACGTAGTTGTAGATATTAAAAATGTGCATTAATATATAAGTTATGCATGGAAGAAACTATAGATGTATCTACGGGTAGATATGATATTTACTTGTCTCGAGTGTTTTGCAACTAATCTATCAGTGAACTTTTATTCTTTTACTAGACGTCTACAGATACAAAATTGAATTGTCTTAATTAATTCTACAATGTGGGTCATCCGTACTAGCTAATATTTTAGTTTCATCATACAAATTTTAATATCACAGCTCCCATCTTACAAAATCGGAATTTTTAATCATTTTAGTGATCAACCATAACTGACACTGCAGTGGAATTGCTCAAATCCTGGTCCATTAACTTTCAAAACGAACCCTTAGATCACTTTTAATAAGTCAACCGGTTATCAGGAATTCAAACAGTTATTTAAAAAGCAACGCATCAGGACATACTTAAAATCTATCAACTAATTTTGTTTTTAAATCGGGTTTAGGGATCAGTTAATTAGATACACACTTTAGATTTATATGATACTATAATTAAATGGTCTTCTCTGTATACTATAACAATGCATAGGTGGAAGTGAAGTCTTCGAATAGGGGCAGAGCTTTCACATGGGCAATGAAACTCATTCTCTGTAACTCACATACTTGAATAGTTAAATTATTATTCAAATAACAATTTGACAAATACTCATTATCTATACAATATGTGAAGAGAATTTTTGTTTGAATTCTAAGAATTATGTGTCACGGAATTTTGGACGATTCTTAAATATAATACTTATATACCAAAATAGTCTAAGAATAAACACAAAACACAATGGTCATCATTCATCAATTATTTAATACACAACATACTTAACGTATATAATTTATTATATATATATATATGTTCCTTTTTAGTTGGGTGAAAATTTTCCACACGGTCGAACCAAAGTTGTGGCACATGGAAATTAAAATCAAGTTAATGATTTAGGGTCTGATTATTTCCATTACAACTTATCGCGTTTAATAATCAAAAAATGTTGTTGGCGACTGAAAGCATTGATCCTTTTGGTATGACAACTAGATACATCCTTTAAGATTTGCAGAACAATATGACCTTCACATATTTGGGTTTCACTAAATAAAATGGTAAAAGAAGTAGTGTATGCAACCTATATAATTATGCATCTACATGTCACGTCTAGTCTTCGACACTTTCCTCTGACATTGAAGAAGAGTAATTTACAAAGACCAATACAATAAAGTTCAAAAAAAAAAACGACCAATGTAATTCATATAAAATAAAAAGCGGGTATTATTGGTTTATGTCATGGTTCATGACTTTCTAAATCAAAATCAACTGGTATTGAGAAGAATTGGCTGGTTTCCCATTTATATCATATTAACTCGCATCTTCTTTCGAATATGATATTACTTACAAACGACACTTCAAAAAATCATTCATGTAGACTGAATCTCATTATATGATCGATTAGGTCTTTGTCTGATATATTAGTGCAGATTGTGGTGTACTATTGAGGTGATAGTAGTAGTGAGTCAACACGTAAAAAATATCTTTGGCTTATAACATAATCGAGAGGGATGAGAATTTATTGTCTTAAATCACAAGAGTATTTAAAACAATACACCAACAAGAATAAAATTCTCTAGAAATAGAAAATGTGAAATCGGATAAATTGGCAGTTATAAAAATTTACGAAACGAATAAGATTTCATTAGCATTATGTTCTTACTTGCGCCATTATACATACATATGTGTAATTGACACAAACTGATAATCAAATGATTTGAGATTCACATGGTTTAATTTGATGAAATCAGATAATTCGAGATTCACATGGATGAAGACAAACATAACATTATATATTATTCTTTTTTGTTTGTTCGAGCCCATTACTCCATCTGATTCCTTATAAGTGATGTTTAATTTTTCATTTTAAGTGATATTTACTTCTAATGCAAAATTAAATTATTCTTTATCTTTTTGCACTCTTTATATTTTCCAGTGTTTTTGATCATTTGTTGAATTGTTTTTAATTATACTTTAAAATATATTCTTTATATAGAGAAATAAAAATTATCAATATGTGTGAAATTTTTTTAAAAAACATCAGTGAAAATAAATAATTGAAATCTTATTTTATTTTCTCATTTTTTTGTAAGGAAACGTATTCATTCATGCATATTTCTTCTTTTAAAAATATTTGAAATAGGATTGGAAATTGCTGCAAGGCCCGCTCTAGTCGCCATATATATTTATGTTCGAAATTAACAACTAGACTTCGAATAATCAACTAAAATAATATACACACACACGTACTTATGTAAGCGAAAGTTCCACAGAGGATCCTGACAACAAGAAAATACCAAAAATTCTTGGTTGGTCCGCTTTACCAATCTGGTCTATTTTATTTTATTCTCGATCAGTTATAAATAACAGTTGTCCACGAGTGTGAGATAATGTAAATATATATAACATACAAGTCTCATTCACCATTATATATATATAACATACAACTCTCATGTTGGTGTATTACTAATTAAATGATATGCTTTTTTGTTTGTTTGAGTTAAGTACGTAAGAGAAACCATGTATGTTATGGGTGTTTAATTCCCCTTTTCACAATTATTTTTCTAGATAACGCTAGCTAGACAAGATAATAATGAAAATGTATGTTTTTTTCTTCAAAAATAGATGAAATTTTCTTTTCCAAAAGATATGGTATAGTCTCCGGAAATTTTTCAGTCCACTCAAGAAGCACTTGAACCTATTAATGCGAGAAACTGCTATTGCCTGAAGCTGAAACATATGTAGCGAGCAACAACAACAACCTAGCTTAGAACGTTGTAACTGCCAAAAATTCTACGAAAATTGAGCTCAAAATTGTTTTACCTCGTAAAGGTAATTAGGTATAAATACAATTATAGCGTCATTGTTTCGGAAACATGTGTTTCATGCAAAGTCTTTAAGCTAAAATGTCCCATTCACATTAATTTTGTAAAGTTAACGTACAAATCTTATTTTCTTTTATAAATAACATGCAAGTCACAATGTATCATATACATATAATAACATTCAAGTCTCTCTCATATATCTCGGTAAAAGTATAATCTCTTTTATTCTTAATTACTTTCAAAGTTTGAAAGTAGTGTATGATAATACATAGTACTATTTATCACCGTAAATCATTCTTGGCGAAACATTTTCAAATTTGAATTCAGTATGACCAACATTATAAGTGTCATATTTGGATAAATCAATCTGTTTTTTTCTTTGTGTGTGTAAATAAATCGGCAAACCTATCTGAAAATTTGTTGATTCTCACATATTAAATCCCATAACATGTGGGGTACTGGTATATCAATAAATCTATGAAACTCCTATAATTTCGCAGTTTATGGATCGGAGAAGACAAAAAACAGCGGACTTTAACTCAACATGCATACGAGCAAGCTGAAAAGATGAATCATAGTATATTTTTATTTGAATTTTGAAGTCTCACCTTCATCACCCCTCAGCCCAATCACAACCGTAGCTTGTAATTTCGGGCTTCTCTCCTTAATACACGGATATGTCTCCATTTAATTTGTTCTAAAATCCATATTATATGCATATCTTCCATCTGTAATAGAACCACAAATACTCAACCTTGCTTGGCCCAATAGAAAGATAGATGTCCACCACTTTTTCTGTTTGTGGTCAACAAAGGTCCACCATCCTTAAATATATAAAAAATAATAAAAGAAAACAGACAAAAAAAAAATCGAATTATTATCCATTTACAACAAGATGATGGCTGCCCCACCTTCCCAAATTCCATAAAATCTTTTATCAATAGAATAATAATATTTAAATTCCACGAAACTTATCCTGAACATTTTTTAGAGAAAGTCTTGCGAGAATCTAATACCACAAATGGTAAAGAGAGATTTACGTATAGAAGCGCTTTGACAATGAGAAGAATACCATCAAGAATTTAGGAAAAATTTCTAAATTTTTAGAAAGTCTTTTTAACCCTGTTGAAAGAGGGATTCTTAAAAATTTATGAAGATTGAATATTTCTTCTAAAATAAGTTGTTTAGTAGTATTATATACTTGAAAAACATAATATATGTGGTACGTTGAGGTTCTTTTTGTTGCAGAAGCAGGTTTGTATAATTCAAAGTAGACATTTCGAATTCAAAAACTTAAATTGGTGGTAGAGATCACGTTTTTATGTCAACGTGGAGATCACTTTGTAACGAACAAAGATTTGTTTTCTCGAAATCATAAATCTCGTTAGCTAAATTAAAGGAGTAGGAATATTCGTTGAATATGGACTTTCTCTATTTGTATCGCAACAGATAATTATAAAGTTGTGATTATTTTCACATGACCCTATTCGTACAGTCGTATTATACTTGTAAGGATCAAAATTAAAAGTCAATGCCGCATTATCATTACATCAAGCACACATAGAAACATTCATACGCACACAAAGTTATACGCTCCCCCAAAAAGAAGAAGGATGGCCATATTCGATCCGTTTCAGCTCCGCCACAAACCACCGTCGATTTTGCCTACATCAACGTTTAAACCAAGCCATGTTATTTCCGTCGTCGCCAAGCTCTTTTTCACCATATGCATATTTATCTCTGTTGCTATGATCTTCTTCTACATCATCTTCTCCGATTGCTCTGACTGCCACCGCATCGCCGGCCACCTCCGCTTTGACCGTGGCAACGTGAGCTCCACTACCAATTCCTCCACCTCCTCATCCTCATCCTCCTCGGCTATCCTCCGGAAAAATCAGTCCTCGGAAGCCACCGATGTCTCTCATATAGTTTTTGGGGTTGGTGGCTCCATTCAAACGTGGACAGAACGTAGCCGCTACTCCGAGCTCTGGTGGCGTCCCAACGATACCCGAGGGTTCGTCTGGCTTGATGGGGAACCGCCTCTTAATATGACGTGGCTCCCGACTTCTCCACCGTACAAAGTCTCGGCGGACACCTCCCGTTTCAATTACACTTGCTGGTATTAACTATTTCTACTTCTATTCAAAAAGATTTACCTAATTCTTTCAATCAACTGATCTTAGTCAAGTTCACTAGCTATGTTGTTCTAGCCTTCTAGGTCAAGGATCAATTCTCACTAGACGTATTTTCTCTTAAAAATTCACATAGCTGTTGTGGATTAGTTTGGGATCTTGGTTACAAGAAAATAGATTTTGTTAGATAATCGGTTGACCTAAATCCAAATGGGTTCCTTAGTAGAACGTTGCGGCACATATAAGACCATGACCACACCTTTTGGTTTTTAAAAAGTTTATAGTATATTGTGATAATGTATTGAATGAATATTAATTATAATAATCCGATAATTATTTCTTTTGTTTAAAAGGTATGGTTCAAGATCGGCCATACGAATGGCGAGAATCGTCAAGGAAAGTTTTGAGCTAGGGTTAAAGAACGTGAGATGGTTCGTGATGGGTGACGACGACACCGTTTTCTTTCTTGACAATCTATTAGCGGTGCTCAATAAGTACGATCACAATCAAATGTATTACATCGGAGGAAACTCCGAGAGTGTCGAACAAGATATCGTTCACTCCTACGCCATGGCTTACGGTGGCGGAGGAATAGCAATTAGCTACCCATTGGCAATTGAGCTAGTAAAGATACTCGATGGCTGTATTGATCGATACGCATGGTTATATGGATCTGATCAGAAGATTGAAGCTTGTATTAGCGAAATTGGAGTTCCCTTGACCAGGGAACTAGGGTTTCATCAGGTATATTCGCAGTTTCCTTTTTTTTTAAAAAAAATGAAAAATTATCATAAATCATCACGATATTGTGTACATATTTTATAGATCTTCAAAAGTAAATAATTCATTGATAGATTTCTATATATATAGGGAAGTATATAATAAACGGAACAATTTAATTCCGTAATAGTTAATGGCATTGGCATATTGGTGTAACTATTTATGTGAAATTTCTATAAATTTGGAACCATAAATATCGGAATTTAATGATTTTCTTTGCATGGTCAAAATTCAGATTGACATACGTGGCAACACGTACGGTTTACTGGCTGCGCATCCGGTGGCTCCTCTGGTATCGCTCCACCACCTCGACTACGTTGACCCGATTTTCCCCGCAACGACCCAAATCGACGCCCTAAGAAGACTCATATCGGCCTACAGAACGGATCCAAGCCGGATAGTCCAGCACAGCTTTTGCCATGACCCGACCCGGAACTGGTCTGTCTCCGTTTCATGGGGCTACACCGTTCAGATTTATCCGTCTCTAGTCACGGCCAAGGATCTTGCGACACCGTTTCTTACGTTCAAGTCGTGGCGGACGTCGAGCTCCGAGCCTTTCACGTTCGATACCCGACCCATCAGCGACGACCCGTGCAAGAGACCCGTTGTTTATTTCTTGGACCGGGTTTATGAAGTCGGATCGGGTCAGACTCTTACGACTTATCGGAAGCATGTTGAAGTGGACGACCCGCAATGTGATTCGCCAGAATATGCTCGCGCCAGTTCCATCGAGTTCATCGACGTCTCCGCTACTACGTGGATGCCAAATCTCTGGAAAATGGTACGTAAAAATATCCGCTTATTTGAATTTATTAACATTTTTGCGAATATACATTTCTATATATATCCACTATCTATAACAAGATTATTATAGACATCAAGTGACAGAAAAAAACAGCGACTATTGAATAGTGAAATAACTGATAAACATTAAGACCTCTCATAGATATGGATGAGGATGACCACTAATTACAAACAAAATTCGTGATTTATTCTTAGGCATACATAACTTCTTTTGCATTGTTTTTGTATATTTTTTTTTATTTTTATATCATATAATTTATATGTTTAATTAAAAACAAATTTGATGGGGTTTACAGGCACCACGGAGACAATGTTGTGAGATTGTCAACAGTGACGAAGACTCGGAAAACGTAATAAATGTCAAGATACGGCATTGTAATTCTTTCGAAAGTGTAACTCCAAAGTCATAGCATCCGAGCGAAAAAATGACCAAAAGATGTTGAAGTCTGACAGATGGCATGGATCGACCGTCTCATACCAAGAGGAAATGATCAGCAATTTTCCCATTGTTGTAACTTTTATGTAAATACCAACTAACCGAAAGTCGGAACTTGGATAAAGTCAAAATTAACTTTACATATTGTAAGTTTTCTTTTTCCAACATTTCATTTTTAAGCATAGATTTAGCTGGTCATGTAACAAATGTTTTGCCGAAACGTATTTATTATACAGCCAGAGCTGGTTTTAGGTCCAAACAAGAGAAGTTTCGGCTTGGGCTTGGGCTTGCTAGATCGATTAGATGGATAGTACTTTGCACTGATACAATCTCTAAAGTCTGAAACTTTCTCAATCGATTAGATGAATGGATATTACACAGTATAGAGGCGGAAGGAGCGCGAGCATTGAAGGTACAAACAATCTTACACAGTTGTGGATCAGAGATCCAACTAGAGAGAACATCCCATAGACTGACTCTTACACATTTGTCTAAAAGTCTTAGAAGCGCACTCATTCTCAAGAAAACAATAAAAAATAGTCACTAAACCATAAAATCAGGGCACCTTCTTTTCTATCTCATAGTCTCATCATATCACATACAGTGTCTTCGTTTGGGTCAATATAATAAAGCCCAATATTATTTTAGTTGGGTATGGTTTTTATGAGTAACCCAAAATGAAGTGTAAACTGGAACCGGAATACTAGATCACAAGAGCTGAAAAAGAGAGAAATACATTTCTCCTTACAAAGATGTATTAAATGCTTTTCGTTTTAAATATCTTCGGATCTCTATGCTAAAACGTTCATTTGTCCCCATTTCAACTTCTTACCACACGACGTGACAATCTCTTCGTCTCGAACCACAAGAGCGAAGAGAGAAGACTTCGTTAGCATACAGACAATCTCACGCAAAACTCCAATAGATCAAAAGAGAATGTTGACATGGTTGACTTCAAAAAATCAACGATTATCCAGTCAGAAGCTTCCAAGATTAGAGTGGACCCCATTTCTAGTCTACGAGTTTTGTCCAGTTGTGCATTTCCCACGTGGGTCCCCAATCTGCCATTAAGGTCAGTTCCACCCCACCTAATTCATCATTTATTCAGGATTAATGTTAAAATGCTACACATTAAAATACTAAAATTCCTTGCTACTATGGGTTGGCAAAACAAAAAAACCAAGTTCACGTGCTGACATGATTTGTAAAACAATGCTCGTGAAAGGTTGGCAATTTTATACATATAATTAAGAATTATCTTAGTTTTATAATCATTTCATAACTTATTACTATAATTCCCTTTTGTACCTTCTCGTGATCGATTTATAGAAAGATTTAGTGCAAACTAAGAAAAATATACACACGTATAGATATAAAAGTAAAAGATTTAAATTGTAAGAGAAATATTTCACAAATACAATTATTCAAATTATTTTTGGTTTTCCTCTACAATAATACATATAAAAGTAATAGATTTGTTTGGCAAAAAAAAAAAAAAATTGTAAGAGATTTTGGTTCATGGACAAAACAAAGGTGAAAGGTGAGGAGGAGTTACGTCGTCAGCAGGAAATTTGAGAACCATCTTCGTGTCTACATAAATACACTCGAGTAGGACTTTATCTGCCCAAATTCAGACTCGCATTTATTGGTACTTAAATATCTATTTCACATTAGAGAGTTTTTGAAAATGTTGAAACTAAGTCGCTGTATTTGGCATATTAGACGACTGTGAGTCCCATGATAACAACAAAAATCATAGAGGCAGTATAATGTAGTCAAAAACTCCAAAATAATTCCTTGGCACCGTGCTAGCTTAATTCTGATGTCATTCTTACATAATCATTCATTTTTATGTGTATGTTACACATTATTACGAGATTCTTGTTAAAAGTTCAAATTTAAATGACCATAATTCATAGTGATTATAAATATAACTAGGTGGTTGGCCCGTACATATGTGCGGATATAATTTTTTTGATATACATAGTTAATTGTAATATTTAAATATTGATTAGTTTTTTAAAACATTGGTATGTTTGTATATATATTGTTTTAATATTTTACAAACTTCTTTCTGAAACTAATGTATTTTAAAACTTTTTATTTTTATAATGCTTGTAATAATATATAATCACAAATATAAAATTTATTTTAAATAATAATTAAATTCTTATAATATTTTTTGAATATTTCTATAGTATGCTTTATTTCTCCTTACACAATCTACAATATGCTTTTTTGAGTCTTACATAATATGAATTTGCAAATACATATATAATATATTTTAAGTATATATTTTTCTTGATTTATTGCAATTTAAACTGAAATAGTTTTTACAATTTTTATTTATTCCTAAGAGCAGATAGATGGTTGGCACGCATGTGCGGGCATACCAACCACTTCACTACACTTAGAATAGATAAAGAGTTTTTAAAAAAAATATAAATTGTATAATAATTAAAATAAAAATTAGACTATAATCAATCTTAACAAAATACATGCACGAAAAAGTGTGCATGTGACTTCAACTAATGTACAATTAATATTTATGTATATACGCGTATTTGTAAAAAAATTGAAATATGGATCTTATGTGTTAATTTTTTTTAAGTGACTTTGTAAAACAAAGGACGAGAGATTTATTTTTATTTCTTATTCATATTGTTTCATCTTATTATAATTTATTTTTTCGTTGTTCGGTTATTTTTCAATTTATTTATGATCTCAAAATTTTATTTTTATTTAAAATATGATAAGAGATAAGATGAGATGGTAACATAAGTTATGTACATTTTAGAAAACAACAATAAAAAGATGATAAAAATTATAGAAAATATATGGTCCTATTAATATTATAAAATAATAATTAGTATATACTTTATTCATTTAGTAAATATTGGTTTGAAAAGAAAATTATTTAAAATTACGTTTTTTAAAAAAATTCAATAAAAGTTAATTATTTTTTATGATTTTAACATTTTATTCTTTAAATTATTTTTATCATGATTGTATTTTATTAAAAATTATATTATTTAATAATTTGTTTATTTAAAACTTGTTTAGATTTTATTAATATATTTTATAAATTAATAACTTTCCGAAATAAAAATATATCATACTTATAGTATTATTAATAAATAGAATTTTTACTGTTCTATTGGATAATTTAATATTATTTTTTGTTTTTATATGAAATTATAATATATATTGTTGAAAAAAATCGTAATTATATTTTATGAAATTATGAATATATGTAAAAAATTGAAATTATAATAGCTTTTATTTTCTGTTAATTTTACTGTTATAAATATAATTTAGTTTATTTATGTTTTAATTTCATAATTTTTACAATTTTAATTCAACCAATCAAAACATTTCGTTTATTTTAGGAAGTTTGACATGTCACATTTACATGTCATCAATTAAAAACACTAACTTTGGCTGTAGTGTTGACAAGTCAGCTATTTTCAATTATGTTACTTCTCAAATAATATGTAGTAGATTAATATTTATGTATGTATGCGTATTTGTAAAAAAATTGAAACATGGCTATTACATGTTAAAAAAATTTAAGTGACTTTGTAAAACAAAGGGCGAGAGATTTATTTTTATATACTTCTATTTTTATTTCTTATTCATATTGTTTCATTTTATTATAATTTATTCTTTTGTTCGGTAATTTTTCAATTCATTTATGATCTCAAAATTTTGATATACAATGAAAATAAATATATATATATATATATATATTAATATGATATAAAATTTTATTTTATTTAAAATATGATAAGACATAAGATGAGATGATAACATAAGTTATGTACATTTTAGAAAACAATAATAAAAAGATGATAAAAGTTATAGAAAAATATATGGTCCTATTGATATTATAAAATAATAATTAGTATATACTTTATTCATTTAGTAAATATTGGTTTGAAATGAAAAATTATTTAAAATTACGTTTTTTTAAAAAAAACTCAATAAAAGCTAATTATTTTTTTATTATTTTTAACATTTTATTCTTTAAATTATTTTTATCATGATTGTATTTTATTTAAAATTATATTATTTAATCATTTGTTTATTTAAAACTTTTTTATATGTTATTAATATATTTTGTAACTTAATAACTTTCCGAAATAAAAATATATCATACTTAATGTATTATTAATAAATAGAATTTTTAATATTCTATTGGATAATTTAATATTATTTTTATGTTTTATATGAAATTATAATATATATATTGTTGAAAAAAATTTGTAATTGTATTTTATGAAATTATGAATATATGTAAAAAATTGAAATTATAATAATTTTTATTTTCTGTTAATTTAAATTTGTTAATCTTAGTGTTATAAATATAATTTAGTTTGTTTATGTTTTAATTCTATAATTTCTATAATTTTAATTCAACTAATCAAAACATTTCGTTTATTTTAGGAAGTTTGACATGTCACATTTACATGTCATCAATTAAAAATACTAACTTTGATTGTAATATTGACAAGTCAATTATTTTTAATAATGTTACTTCTCAAATAATATATAGTGGATGAATTAGTTAAACTATGACATAATGTGACATATAATAGTCGTATGTTTTTATCTCAAAATGAATCATGTAAAATCTATTTTCAAATATTAAAGCCCTAAAAAATATCATTTGATAATTTGATCTTAGCTTATTCTTTGGAACAAAAATTTGATCCTCACATGACCTTACAACTAGAAACTTTTAAAAAACTAACTACAGTAGAAATGACCATAATTCATAGTGAATATAAATATAACTAGTGAAATAATGACATCATGTGACATATAAATAATCAGATGTTTTATCTCAAAATGAATCATGTAATATCTATTTTCAATATCAAAGCTCTAAAAAATATAATTTGATAATTTGAACTTAGCTTATTCGTTGGAACACAAAATTGATCCTCACATAATCTTACAACTATAAACTCACAGTAATAGTTACCATCGAATCTTCGATCACCACCCAAAAATATTAGTTGAAAATTACTAGTAGTGCCTAATATGTCCGATAAATTAAACAAACATCCTTATGGTTACAGCATCATTAGCGTGATAGATGGCAGATTTTAAAAATTGATATTTAAAATTTTCAATAAGATTGAATTAAGCTTTAATCTTGGAAGTTGGAACACATAAAACCTACTTTGATTAAATTTCTCAATCACGAGCAATCCCCCACAAAGAAAAAAAAAGCTTATTTTTTCTAG